TTATTCCTAAGCTTTAAATGTATAACTATAATAGTATTATCTGTTGTTGAAAAAAATGTGCCTGAGTTTAGTTTATAGAACAGGTAAGAAAGTTGAAGTTCCAGTAATTACATCAATGATTTATCATTTTAAAAGCATTGTATTTTATTTGGAGCTTGTATTTTGCCTCTGAGTATTTGACCTTTGAAATAACAACAGCCTAGATTTCACTCATCTTGACTCTAAATGATGGAATGAGATGGGAAAGTATGTCTAAGATATATTTTATGCGGTACTGGAAATCATGCATATTCAACAAGATAATAACATAATGTATGATGATGATATCCATTCTCCAGGGAATACAAAGTGCTTTGCAGAAATTATTTTTCAATCTCTATCCACTTGTGAGTCAAAGTATATAGGAGATGGTGATAGTTCCAGTTTTAAAAAGAGGCATATGTGATTCAAGGATTGGCCTCAGCTTGCTCAGCCTAGGTTTGAATTCTTTTACTTTACACAAGACCATAATACCTTTAATACTTTTAAATACCTTGTAACATAAAATTTTTAAAAACCAATCACATTTTAAATGTATCATATTCTGTCATAATGAATACTTAAACTGAAAAATTATAAGAACTAAATGATACAAAGGATGTTTTTAAGTTTGACTCTTCTTGTGCCCTTTTTGGTTTGGGGATCTAAAATTCAGTGTGTTGTAGAGTTGATATTGCCCCCTCCTTCTAATCTTCACTGGTTGTTCTCTCAGCCTGCCACATTGTTCTGGTTCTGGAATGTTCTTTCTCCATTATCCTAAAATAATCTCCTTTATTGGATCACCTGTTTCTTGGGTTTAATGTCTTCTACTTTCTTCATTTATTCCCTCATCATGCTGAACCATGTTCTTCAGTAGCTTCCTTAGAATGAATAGGAGGATAAATTTTTTGGACTGTTCATATCTAAAAAGGCTTTATTCTACTCATGGTCTTCATTGTTTAGCTATGACATAGAATTCTAGGTTGGAAATAATTTTGGAATATTTGAAAGCATTGTTTTCAGTATTGCTATTAAAGTCCAATGCCAATTTAAATTTCTGATCTTTTGTATATGATACGCTTTTTTTCTCCACAAGCTTCTAGGATCTTCCCTTTTTCCCTATTTTTTTTTTTTTAATTTCAGTTTCACCATGATGAGATCAGCATGCATCTTTTTCAATCTATCGCACTAGGCATTGAGTGAATTCTAATGATCTGGAAACTCTGGAAACTCATCTTCAGTTCTGGGAAATGTTCTTGTATTATTTATCATTTTCTTCCCTCCTTTTCTTCTGTTGTTTCTTTTTAAAAATTTAAAAAGGTTGTATGTTATTTATCAGTTTCTTCCTTCCTTTTCTTCTGTTGTTTTTTTTTAAAAAATTTAAAAAGGTTGTATGTTGGGCCTTCTGAATTGGTCTTTTCTTACCTTTTCTCTGTTTCCATTTATCTTTTTGTTTAATTTTCTGGGAGATTTACTCAATTTCTCCTTCCAACTTTCCATTACATTTTTATTTCTTCTCTTTTTTAAATTTACATGAGCTCTTTCCTGAAGGACAGATACACATACATGTTTATATGTGTATATTTCTTGGATCTGATAATCTTTTATCTCTCTGAAGACATTAAATATAATTTTAGAGTTTCTTGGGCTTCCTTTTATTGCCTCTATTTCCTCAGACTTGCTTTTCTGTTTGCTGGTTGGTTTGTTTGGCTCTCTGCCTTTTATGTTAGAGGTGCTCCTCACACTTCTGGTGATTTCTGGCTATTTGTTCATATTTATCGGTGTGGCTCTAAAATCCAGTGAGTGGAAGCTCATTCTGTGTGCATGGGTGGTAGGACTTGTTGAGTAGTTGTCCTCAGAATGCATGCTCAGACAGAGACCCGGCTGTTTCATTGGGGACTTCAAATTGTCAGTATCTTTAGGTCTCTTCTCCTGGGCTAGGTCTTCTGCTGGACTGGGGGCAATCACCTGGCTGCGGGGGTTAGGGAAGGCAATTTAGAGACCTGGCAACTCCTTGTATAAATTTCCACAAATCTCCCATTTTTAACCCTACTCCACAGTTCTGCTTTCAAAGATAACTCATCCCTTCAATTCTGGAGCATTTCCAAGATCTGTGGAAAACTTTTATAAATGATTACTTGACTCATGGTGGTATTGAGGTGAATAACAGTAGTAGATTTGGAGGTGCTGATGTGTTTTTTGTTGTTGATTGGTTGCTTGCTTGCTTTTGGTTTTACCCAATTAAAAATTTCTTTATTCTGAAATGTCACTTTCAGATTTTACCAAAATTTCATGCCAATTTACTAAAAGGTGGAATTGGAATGGGCATCAAAAATGGCAGACCTTAAAATTTCTGCAAGAACAGATATTTTTCTAGACTAGTCCTAAAAGTATTAGGAAGATTGGGTTATAAGCATTGGAACACATAGGAATGTCAGGACCCCAAGAAGAGGGTTCAGTTTCCCAATGTAATAATCTCTAGGACTTGTCATTTTCTAAATTTGCAGAGATAACTGCCTGTAACTTCAATTGAAAGTGATCCAAATTCTAGCATGTCCATATTCTTTTGTGTGTGGAGCATCTAATGTTATTAACATTTCTTAATCACTCAAGTAGAATTTTTCTAATATTTTTCAATTTACTTTATTAGACATTGATATGTTATAAAAGTATAGTGTTCTTATTATAACAACTTAAATAATACTAAAATATATAAAGAAAAAGTTAAATCTCCTGGTGGGTGCCTGCCATTGTTTATCCCCTAAAATAACTTATGTTAACTGACAGTTGTGTCTCTGATACCTTTCTCACTGTCATACAAACATACACAAAGATGTTTGTTTCTGAAAATATAAGAGGATTCATATTGTACACATTCCATGGCTTGCTTTAATCACTCAGTATATCATAAACATCCCTTCAGGATAGTAGAAATAATATTAACTCACTCTTTTGAATAACCAAATACTATTTCATAATATGGTTATACCATAATCTATTATACCATTCAAATATTGGTTCTGGGGTTTTTTTGAGGGGGGGGAACTTCTTTATTGTTGGTTTTTTTACTATTCAAAAAAATGCTTCAATAAATATCCTTTTACAGGTTAAATATCTCTTATCTGAAATGTTTGAGACAGAAGTATTTGGATTTCCAATTTTTGGATTAGGGATACTCAATACTTGTATATTTCTGTATATATCTCCTTACATACTTTTGTTTCTTTTTTGACTTCTCAACTCTTGAAATTAAAGTTTTGATTCATTTGTCATTTGCTTAGAGTACTTCCTCTTGCATTTCCCCTCAGTAAGGTACGTGGTGATTTACTCTCTGAGGCCTTACCTATCCAGAAATGTGTTCACTCAGGTCCCAGATAGGTCAGGCTGTTGGAGACTGTTAAACAGTGGCTTTTCCCTTTAGGGGCTGGGCATCACACCAGCTGCTAGACTATAAGCTCGTGCTTATAAGTGTCTCTGGGTATGTGTAGCGGTCTTTTCCCAGCTGCAGGGACTGGGAGCAGTTCAATCCATCATGCAGACCTGTACATGAAGATCCATAGTCTTCCACTGTCTGGGCCCCCCAGGAATCAATGAAACCCTAGGGCTTTGCTCTAAGCTCGAAGAAAAATCTAGGCCTCCCTGCCTGCCATCAGTTCCCTAGTTCTGTCCTCACTTGAGAGAGTGTAGCCCCTCTACCTGGCTTTCTTTTCTGGAGATCTCAAGGCAACTTGGGGCCTGACATGGACCCTCCGCAACATGTCTGCTTTTGTTCGTGTATTACTCTATGGAAGAAATGGGCCAAAGATGAGGTCAGGAATTTGTACTCTGACCACCATCTTCCCAGAATCTCAATCTCTATTGCTTTTTTTAAAAAAAAATGTTTTCAATATTTTCAGAATTACTCAACAGTATTCCATTTCCTATTGCTTTTTATAATGTCAATATCTAAAGCACTCCTCTGTATATTGCATATGAAAGTGGATGCTGACCCTGCCCTCTAGGATTCTGATGTCTAGAGAGATCAGACTATGGAAAATGAATAATCCTGGAAGTGATAGCAAAAAGATATTTACTCAGATTTTTTAAAACAAGACATCAAAGTAGTCACATGAAAGAGATTATATTCTACAAAGAATGGCTTTTTCCCTTCTGTCAGTCATGTTTAATGAATCTGTGACCTTTGTTTAAACCTTTTCATGTATGTCCCCAAATCTGCCTATGTGGTTCTCAAGTAGAATTTGAGGACATAATCTCTTCATAAATTGAGGGCTGGTTGTATATGAATATTTTATGATATTTTACACTTCTATTTTTATTATTGTAATTCCCTACTTCCCTCTCAACAGTTTTTCCTGATTAAGAATATTTTATTATAGTAGCTAGTCCCTTTTAAAATCATTTTAAGAAGCTTTTGTAATATGTGATTTGTCAATGTCTTCTTTCATTTGTTGTTTTGAAGAAAACATAGGATGTACCTTACTGCCTTCTTCAAAAAGACAGCAGAGAATAGTAGTGGGGTCATTCAGAAAAAGGATCATGGGAAAGTGGCTTGGGAAGTGATTTTTTCCTCTTATAATCCTGCCCAGTGCTTTTTAAGATGATATTGCTCATTGTAGTTTTCTGTTCATTTTTAAAGGTATGATAGACCTATGCAGGTAATCTTAAATACCTATTTAATTTTCATGTCTCTTTCCCCCTTGCAGCATTGCTATGGCAACAAAAGAAAATATGACTTCACAGAGAGGAATGTTGAAGTCAATTCATAGCAAAATGAATACTTTGGCCAGTATCCTTTCTGAATGTTTGAAATCTGTGTTTTGGGAAGGGAGGTGGTATGTATGTGTGGTTTTTTTTTTTTTTTGGCAGGTTGCCATCATCACTAGAGTAGAGCCCATCAGTAATTACATAATATGAATATACCATGCATTCCTACTTTGTGAAAGTTCATGCTATTTAGTTCCATTTCTTAAAAATTGCATATCAGAGGTTTAATACTAGTAGATTTAGAAAAAAATTATAAATGTGAATTCACAAAATTGTTTTACATTTTTTAAAGTTCTTGAATTCATGTTAGAACTCCACAGTATACATTATTTTTATCTAAATATCACGAATTACATGCTTTTTTATCTTTTCAGTTTGGAGCGTAAATCAGTGGCAGATGCTTGGAAGGGAGAAGGAAGGAGACAGCCGTGTATGTGGATGAGCTGCAGTTGGTGATAGAGTATTGTGACTCTTTATGCGCAGGCTGAATTCCAGGATAAATTCTCTACTTGTTTGTTGTGACCTCTACTTTTTAATTTTTTATTTTCCCAATTTAAATTAGGATTGCAAATACTTCCAAGAAACCCACCAGGAAAATTGATAAGCCCGTCATTCTGAAGCATTTTATTTATTCTCTGAGAAGACAAGCCTTTTAGGGAAAAAACTTTCTTCTCCAAATAAGGGAGGAAGGCCCTATAATTTTCGAAAGTTGAGTGTCTTGTGGTCCTGGATAATTTAAGGTAACTTTTAGTTTGATGTCTATTTGCCTAAGGAAAAGAATATCCTGACATTTGTTGGTATTTTCCAGTCTGTTGTGAATTTTATTCTTGCCTGTCACCCTAGGTATAAAACCGCAACATCCAAAATTACTTATTTTTTATATAGGGCTATAAAGTTTACAGACTACATTATATACATTATCTCATCATTACCACAAAAAAAGAGAATGTAGAAATTATTATCATTTTGCAGATGAAGAATTGGGCCCAGAGAAGTGGCTTGGCCCAAGTCCACAACTAGTCAATAGCAAATTAGAGATTTAAATTTTAAGTTCCCATTGCTTTTTCCATGGAATCATTCTGTCTTTTTTTTTTGTGTGTGATTTATTAAAAACAGGTTTTTTCGTGATTTATTAAAAAAAAGTTTTTTTTCATTCTGTCTTTCTTACTCTATTAATATGAACGTGGTTACCAGCAAGAGCAAAGGCTACTTAGTGAATATAAAAGAGTATATTTAGCAAAACCTTTGAAACCTTGAAACGGAAGTGGAAAATACTGACTGAAGCCTTTCTCAATTATCCATTAGAATTTGTCACCATTTCTTTTTCATGCCCTCTTCCCTGCTGTGTACATATTTCTCCCACACTCACCCCTGCATTCTCTTAAGGCATAGAAGCATCCCAGAACCCAGCACAGTGCCTGGTACAGATTAGCCACTCAGGAATTTTACAATTACTCCAAAAGAATGTGTGTTCCCAAAAAGTCAAACAAAATGAGTGAATTAGCCAGGACTCCATAGAGAGGTGGTAACGGAAAGCTGTCAGACTGACCTAAGGGAGAAAGGGAAGAAATTAATTTGTTAATGTAACTGTAAAATCCAGGGATAGAATTTGGCTTACGGCATGGCTGGATCCAGGGGCTCAGATTTTGTCACCAAGAATCTGCCTTTTCTCTCTCTTTTCCCCGCTCCCTTTCCCATCTCTTCTCTTAGCTTTCCTCTGTGTTCACCTTATTCCCAGGCAGACTTTCTCCTTGTGGTGATAGAGATGGCTAAACACCAGCTCAGAAATCCCCATGGAAAAAGGACGTCTTTTCTAACAGCTGTCTCAAGCATCCCAAAGAGGGTGGTAGTGGCCCCAGCTTGAGTCACTACCCATTCCTAACCCAGTCACTGACTAAGAGGAGGGAATATGCCTACTGGCAAATCCTGACTTTGTGTGTATACCTGATGGCAGAGGGTGAGGTCATCCTTACCCTATTACGTGGAATGAACTAGATTATTATAGAAGGGGAGAAGGGTGGACAAAAATATGTCCACCATAGTCTATGGCCAAAATTTACATACTCTCAGTAGATTTGTTTATCCATTTACTAAGCAAGAAAAGATTAAGCATTTTCTCTATATGAGATTTTTACTTTGAAAGTTTTTGTCCATTACTTTAATACATGTGCCCTAGTCTATATTTTTAAAACTGTTTCTGCAGATTGTCCTTTTTCACTGATTAATTCAAACATTCAAAAAACACATTAACGCAAAGTGTAAAGCTCTATTCTAGTCATAGAGAGAAATTCAAGATTAGAAGATGACATGGTTCTAATCATATAATATGTAGATTATATAAGAATACTCAAATGAATATAGTCCCTGGTGAGAGTAATTGTGTTATGGGAAAATGCCATGAGGATTCACGAGGAGTGGGGATTATTCTAGCTCTCTGGTATCCCAGGTGCTTTTTGTCTTTGGTTTTCCTGTACTTGATCTGGTACCTCTATTAACAAAGAGGATGCACGTGTCAGAAACCATTGCCAGAAACGCAAAACAGCATAGGTGCTTTGGTCTGCAGCATACAAACCAGGAGTATGAAGATATTTTGAAATACTAAGTAAAATACAGTTGTGACTGCTATAAAATACAGTTAGGACCCCTAAAATCAAAAATTCCCTGTCTTTCTTTTTTATGGTCCCCAAGCAGGACAGTGAGAGCAGTTGAGTCCACTTTCCTACTATATCCTGCCTACTGCTGCAAAGTCAATTTTAAAAGTGCACAATTTTCTAGTGCCTGATTATACAGACCCCAGAGTTGATTCCCACCAATTGCCTGAATGGGGGACTAGGGGGTAGAGCAGGTATTACCCTGTGGGGAGAGGACCAGGTATTTCTTCAAAACCATCAGGCAAAACTCCCCAGTCTCCTTAGAGAAGGAGGGGGGAGAGAGAGAAAAAAGGAGAAAAAGGAAAGGGAGGACAGTGTCATGGGGGCAGTGGTGGCTGTGTCTATGCCACCCTGCCTGCATAGTTCTGTTCCTGACCAAGCTGACCACACTGGCTCCCATCCTGACCTGGAGCCTGGCAGTAATCCCTCTATGTGTGGGAGTTACTATTTTCTTCTCCTTCTCTCTCTATTAATTTTCTTTCTTTTCATTCTCATTTTTGTACTATGCACAAGACTGGGACCTTGAGCAGCAGGTATTCCCAGTTTTGGCGTGTGCGTCTGCTAAAGACTCCCTCAGTGTGATTTTCTGCCCCTCTCTGTCTTCTCCTCACTCCCTGTTTCTGGACAACACTGGTCTCTATTTTTGTGATTCCTGTGACTTCACTAAAGAGGCTTCTTCCAGATATGACCTTAATAAAGATTTCCCAAAGATCGTTTTCCTGCTGTGAACAGCCTGATCCAGAGGATCAACCTGAGAAAGCGGCGAGACTCGCTCATCCTTGGCAGTGTTATTGGCGTCTGTACCATCCTGCTGCTGCTGTATGCTTTCCATTGATGGGACGTCTCTGGGGACTCTTGATGACAGCCACCACGTTCACGCCCTGATCTGGAATAAAGAAATGTAGGAGGGAGAAGTTGACTGTCCTGATAATTAGCCTGACCAGCAGGACGAATTCAAGACTGGTAGCAATGGACTTTGTGACACCGTCAGGTTGAGCTGAAGCCACAGTTTTCCTGTGCTACCTTTTCTAACACACATTTTTCTGATTTTAGTTTAAAAAAAAAAAGATTTTCAGTTGCTTTTCTCTCCCTAGGAGGTAAGTAAACCAATCAAAAACAGAGTTTCTGTATTTCAGTGGTAGTGTGGAAGCCTGATTATAAGCCAGGTCTTACAGCTGGACTCTTAAAAAAACCAGGTTTCTCTATATCCAAAGACTGCTTTTCTTTTAGCCACCATATTGGGTTGTGAGCAAAAATAATTCTTGTCCTCTTATTTTACATTCATGATGAGAAATCACAAGTCCTTTCTTGATAATCTGTGCTATAGATTTCTACTTTGTGTCCTCAGCTCCTTTGGTATTCAAGGAAAATTCCATTTTTTCATAGATTCTTTGACATGCTGATAGGCCAACTTCAGCGTGTTTGAAATTGTCTGAAATGGAGAACACTGCGAAATAGCTTTTGTCTTTTTTTTTTTTTTTTCTTTTTAATTGTGAGCACATTGTGGCTAACCGTATTGCTGGAAAAACATCAAGAATGATAGGCTATTTTTTAAGGAGCCAGTCATTGTTTTGATTTTTTTGTTTATTTCTCCCATTGGATTAATATTCACTACTACAAGAAAATGAAATCTTAGTTCTACCATGACAAAGGAAACTAATAGCCAATGTCTGCCAATGCCCTCAGCTATTCTGCATCATGTCAAGATTAACACTGGTAACGGAGTGAGGGCATTGCTCAGTTTTCAATGAAAGTTCATTGAAACAAGTGAGATGTAAAAACGTATGGAGGGGTCACTATCCAGATAATTCCGTTTGTAAGTGCTCCATAACTTATAAAAAAGTTTAAGAACTGTTGCCTGATGTACCAGGAATTCTGTGTTCTGTGAAAGTATGTTCATTCCAAATCCGTTAAGCTTTTCCAAGCATCCGGAGAGTGGTTTCACTGTTGAAGGTGCATGTAGCAGAATCTATCTCTATCCGCACCTGTCTTCTATTTCCATCCCTGGACAGTGACAAAATGTTAAACCACCCACCAGAATTCTTTTCAAGTTTAACCATTTCTCAGTTTCTGTAAATTCGTTACTTGTCTTACTGAACTACCACATAGTTTGAAGACTTCCAACATCTACACTTCTCACCAAAAAAGAAGACTGCTCTTCACCATTGGAATTTGCTACAATATTTATAGTATTGGCTTTAAACTGTGCCACAAGGAATAAAAATATGACTACATCATGGTGTATAGATGCAGTTGTTCCAGTGAACTTGATATACAGGCTAACGGGTAGAGTAACACCCAGTCTGGTACAGAGACTGAGAGGTTTTTTCATTCTGGTGTCAAAGTTTCATTACATTCTAGGCATGAAGGGCATTTGATATATTTTTCTTAACTATGGGGTTTATTTTTCTAAGTATGGGTTGGATGATCAGTTCATTGACTGGGGATGCCCTTAAAAGAAAGTTAAGTTTTCCCCGTGTGAACCTTAAAGGATCAGGGAAGTAAGTTCATTTGTTAAATTCTCTGTTGGGAGAACAAAACTCTCCCCTGATACTTTATTATCTTTGATTTTTCAAAGGGCCTTGATTGGTGGTTGTGTCTCGGCTAGGATTTATGGGACTTTGGAAGCTATATAGTTGGCATTTATAAAATCTGAAGTATCGTAAATAAAGTTATTTATTTAATTATTCTACCAGTCTTTTTTACTGGTCTGATTATTTGGTGCATTCATTATAACTAATTGTGTGAGAATAAAACTAGGACACAAGCTAATCTAGCTTGCTGCAGCTAAGCAAGCTGATGAGACTTTCCATTAGGGTTATGCTTAGATGAAGTAATAGAAGTAATAGAATTATGTTGATTATTTTCCTTATGAAAATAAAGAAACCAGTTCTTCCGAGGAAGTTGAAAAAGCGTGGTGTAGATGTGGATGTCAGATAGGTCTGACTAACCTCCCAGTGCTGTAGCCCATAGTGAGGTGACCCAGGGCCAAATGGAGACAGCGAGGACAGTGCTCTTCCTTTCCTCTGTGGCTCCTTCATTTGCAGAAAGAAAGCTTGAGCAAGGAAGTAGAGGTGTGCTGTTTACAGGAAGGGGCTCAGTTTGGATGCCGTGATAGCTGATTTGGACTCTTTCAGTTTCATGCCATTTAACTTTTTGTTTAGCCATCTTGGTTTTCTCACTTTTTTGCTGTCCTCTTTACAGACTACTTGCTAGGCTTAGGAGCTAACACTTAGTTACTTGTTCCTGTCAGAGCTGGGAAGTCAGAAGGAATTTTCTACTGGTTCCAAATAAATGTTGCCCCTTAGGGGAAGTTATGCTCCCTCAGCCATTGTCTTAAGTAATGAATCTTTCCTTTTTGGATCTTTTGAGTTACTGCTCAAAACTTCACTAAAAAATGTGAAAAACCATGGCAACGAAAAGGGCAGAAAATTCCAAAAGGTGTATTTCTGAGATTTTTGTTTTCATGTGTATTGATGACTTTAGTAAAAATACTTAACAAATCTGTTACTCAAGTTCAAGCTCACATGTCCAGGTGCTTTAGTGTATCCACTCTGGCAATCTCTACATTCTTTTCATTGTTATTGATGCTGAAGGACTCTCTGTAACCTGCATTGCTCACTTTCATTTTTCTTGTGTTAGAAAGGGGCTTTCCTTCTCCACTATTCCTCTGCCTTTTTCCATGCTACCTGGTGCTCAGACTGGGCATGGGAGTAAACGCCTAAGAATGGAGACAGGTAATGAGAAGAGACGTCATGAGGGCACTTTTTATACCTGGAACCAAATAATTTTTACTTTAGTTCTTTCATGCTGGTTGTGAATACATCTGAGGAGGAGCATACTTATCGAGCCTCTTGACGCAGTGGCTCCCGGCCTCTGTTGGAGTTGAGGCACCTTGGAGTTCCATTCCCACCATTAACTTTCTGTTTGAATGTTAATGATCTCAACCTGATGAAAATGACTTTAAGGAACTGGACTAGCTTTTTGGTTTTTAATACCTCGTGTTTGATCATTAGCAAGACAGGACTTTTGGAAACTGGTTGACTGAATTTTCTAACTTGCAATATTAAGCTGTTGGGGATAAATGACCATGTCTAGTGTTACACTGAATTTTGTGGCTAATATAAAGAACAAATGGATTCTACTCAGAAAATTACAATGATTGTGTTCCATTCTCCTCTTAGGTTAGGGGTTGTTTAGCCTGGTCTCCAAAAGCAGAACTTTTCACCATGGTCAGAATAAACTAATCTGTTTATTCCTTTATAAACCTGCATACCCTTAAGTTTTATAGGCAAAAAGAAAATGAGGGAGGAACAAGTGAATTTTAAGGATGTTTATTGGATAAGAAGCTGAAACGAAGCTGAGCCATGGTCTTGAACAGTCTTTCTCATTTTCTCTGTACCTAATATCTCACTTTAGTGTCAAAGTATTTGCATCCATTCCTGCCCTGTTGGCTCTTACAGAGGAAGGGAAATGAATTTCAGTCACACTTTATTATGATGGAAGATGTTTCCTCATGAAAAATGCCAATACAGATTTTTAAAAAAATGATTCTTTTCCAAATGCACTTTCTAATTTTTTGCTTTTAAAATAGCTTCTTGGAACCAATTTTGTTGTATTTGTACTTAATTTTTGTTCTCATCTAAATGTGCATTTTCTGACTGTATAGAAGAAGCTTTGTTATGTAATTTAATAATAAATTAGAAATCTAAATGGTTGTGCCTATGGTTTGTATTGAAACAGTAACCACCAGGGTAGTTTGGGACTAGTGATTATGAAATCTTGGTGTTGGCAAGTATTTTTCATGATGTCCTAAAACCCAGGATGAAACAATACAGGTGCAGAAAAGCTGTCACATGTAGTTCAAAAAACATCTTGTGAACAATCCACTAATATTTTAGCCCAAGAAGTGAAGGAGAGTCTCTTACCAACATGAAACCTCAGGAGGTATGATGGGAATCTAAAATTGTAGAATTTAGCCAGAAAAACAGATTGTCATCCTGCCTAAGTAATGACTTTTTATCCTGTAAATCAGAACTTGATTCTCCACCCTGCCTGAGACTGGAAATACCTCATTTCCCATTACCTCTCAGGTATTCTTATTCATGTTTTGTGTATCCTTTTCAAAAATAACAGTGTAGTTGAAATATAATTCAAATACCATAAAATTCACCCTTTTGAAGTATGGACTTTCGTACCATCTAACCTCAGAACATTTTCATCACCCAAAAAGAAACCCTGTGCCCAGGAGCAGTCACTCCCTCTTCATCCTTTTTATCTGACCATGCTGTTGTCCCTTTCTCAGCACCGCAGCTTTTCCATTGCTGCCACCAACGTGGCTTCTAAGGTGCCACCTCTTCCTTTTTCTGGCTACCTGCCATGTGCCCAGCCATGTATGTGTGCACATACCCACATAGACGTACGTAAAACCCAACACCACTCAGTGAGGTAGCCTTCCCATTTCACAAATGAGGAAATAAGACCAGAGGGATTAAGAAACTTGCTTAAAATTACAGAGTGAATGGTAAAGTCAGCACTTGAATCCTGAGGGCTCTTTGATGCCAAATATTGTGCTAGTTCCACAAAATATATTTTAACTCATGTTGCATGATTAGGAGAGCAGCTATAAGATAAAAATCACTGATTTCACCCGATTGAAAAAGTGATACTAGGCTGGGCGCGGTGGCTCATGCCTGTAATCCTAGCACTCTGGGAGGCCAAGGCGGGCGGATTGTTTGAGATCAGGAGTTCGAGACCAGCCTGAACAAGAGCGAGACCCCATCTCTACTAAAAATAGAAATTAGCTGGACAACTAAAAATATATATAGAAAAAATTAGCCCAGCATGGTGGCGCGTGCCTGTAGTCCCAGGCACTCGGGAGGCTGAGGCCGTAGGATCGCTTGAGCCCCGGAGTTTGAGGTTGCTGTGAGCTAGGCTGACGCCACGGCACTCTAGCCCAGGCAACACAGTGAGACTCTCAAAAAAAAAAAAAGGTGATACATTTAGAATCATTTAAAGCCTTGTGGCTTGATTATTTTCAAGGAATGCTAACTATTAGCCAAGTGCTTAATAAAGAGGACTCCGGTTTGTAAGTTCTGTTCCTTTCTGAGGACTAATGGACTAATGCACTGAAGTTGTAGAAAATGTTAAGTGGCTTTAATTTGGACCAAACTTCCTGCCCAAATCTTCACACCCTCTGGTTTAGGACTTCAGAGTTCTTCCTCGCGAGTGCCAAGGCCAAGCCTGACAAAGCACATCACCACAGATCCTCACTCAGTGCCATCCCAACTAAGGCACCGGTGCCTCTCCTCTCCAAGTGGAATGGCTTTGACAGCTGCCATTCCTGTTTGATCTGCCCTTTTACTGCAAAGGAACTGAGGCTCTGCCCAGACACACCGTCCTCTGGTAACAGACATGCCTAGAAATAAACAAACGGGTGGCTGGAGGATCTCATTGAAGATGTTTGCTTCCAGGACATTGTCTCCTATTTCTCTAAAGCAAAAGCCAGCAGAAAAACAAGCGTCTTCCTCCTTCTGAAGATCGAGATTTGCATGGCTGGGTTGGAACAGAAAAAAATGCACTTTAGCCTGATGATTTCCGCCCAGCTTGGCTGAGTTTTCCCACCTCAGCAGAGCTGCTCAGCTTGCAAAGCCCTTTTTTATTATTAACCGTCTGAAGACACTTAAAAGCTAAGACGATTGGCTACTGGAAATTCTGTAACTTTCTGCTTAGAGGAATACCAGAGATCACTTGGTGATGCTCTTCTCAACCTCCTAAAATTGTTTTCAATCTGTTATCCTGATGGGTATTCAGTTTCCTTCTTTGAGAGAGAAACCTCAGAAGCAGCCACTTTCCCTTACCTAGTATATTTCTTCTAGATATTTTCAAACATCTAGTCTTTTACTGATACTGCTTACAGTTCGGGGGGGGCAGCAGGCACATATGGTTGGTAGCTAATTGTAACTCAGTGCCAAAAAGGTTTGGCTTAAACCCAATCATCTCCCCGAAAGTGACAAGTTATTACCAAATGAATACGGCTCTTTGAGTGTCTGTCTCTGGAGCAGGCCCTCAGTCCTCTGTATTTCCCCTCCCGGCCCTCATGGCACGTCCTACAAGCTGTGGCTGGTGGTTCGTGACCTGTGTAGCAGCCACCTCTGTGCTTGTGCCCACCTTCTGTGTAGTCCCTGTTGACTCACCCTGCACAGAGCTGCCTCATTTATCTTCCTAGACAGCTTGCAACCTGTCGTCACTTCAGGAACACCCCCGAAGCTCTCTGACGTCCGTGGCGATGTGTTGTAGGGAGTTAACCCACGAGATGTATGCCCAGCACTCTGCTTACTACATACCTACAGCACACGCACAGATAAAACTCTGTTCACTCACTGACGTAGTGCTCTCCTACGGCTAAGGAAACAAGCCCAAGAAATGAAGTACTTTGCTCCAAATCACAGCGTCCTCCTGGTAGGACGGCAGTCAGCTCCCTTTGCCTAACCAAAGTGTCCTCGTCCCTCGTGAACCATAAGCAGAGCTGCCTGGTGCAGAGGAAAGAACGAGGCTTCGAGTTGGAAGCCCTGTATTCCGGCTGGATCTGATACTTTTAGGCCATGAGCAAGTCACTAGGCCACTCTGAGTTGTTTTTCTATCTGCCAAATGGACTCTAGCTGCTTTATGAAGTTACAGAGATCAGAT